CATCGATGTTGAATTGTTCTGAGGTATTGACTTTGGATCAGAATCAATTTCTTGAGGAAACAGCGGAATCATTTTTGGTGGAAGGTCTTGCCGGTCTATTTTCTTATGAGATAGAACTTCTTTGGGTCTTGCTGTTGACCCGCAAGGGCGTTTTCCATGACCATAATGAAACGGTTTAGGATCTGGCATGATTGGTAATCTTGCATTGTGCCGTTTCAAGGATTCATTAAAATGGATTCCTCTTGGTTTCTCAATCGCTGGTGGATCGCTTTCACATTCCTATAGTTTGTAGTAAAACCCAGTCAATTTGTCTATTTTGCTTTGGTTTTGTTCTTATGTTTATTTGTTAGTTTTGAGGCAACGGAATTTGAAAAGGGACAGCGGCAGTCGATCAATTATTAGATGATATGATTTCGAGGAGTTGTTACTTGCGCACTTGAATCTACAATAATGAATAAATCCAACCTACAAGCACCTTTTTGTGTTATCATTTTCGGTTAACTGTGTTTTGATGAGAGGATTTTGGACTGGCTTAATCGCATGATTGCAGAAATGTAAAGCAGTAGTTTGTCAAGTATTAAATATTATGGTTGGAGTTTCATACAACTTACTTCTTTGATCTTATCGTGATGTTCTTTCTCAGTTGTCTTATGTTCAACGGTGGTTGTCTCCCTTCCATTCGGACGATTTTGAAGCGCGATTTCATCATCAACATATTCTTGTAACTTAATTTCTTGATCTTGCAACTTGATTTCTTGAGATGGCACATAATCTTCCCTTTTGTCTTTTGTGAACGTTGGTTCATAAACAGTGCCCTTGATGTCTTCTTCAAAGTTAAGATCTTCAAGGTCTTGAACGAAGATCTGATCACGATCTAGTTTGATCTTATCAATGGCTCCTGGAACACTAACCTCTTCACCTACACCAGCTACTCTCATCTCTCTGTTTGCTTCTTCAAGCCAAAACGGCCTTCCGAAAGTATCAGACATACTAGTTTTCAAACAATTTTGAAGACGCGCAAAAACAAAGCTAACTTCGTGGACTTCAAAACTAGGGTGGGATTCTAATTGAGAGACTGATTGTTACGTAAGATGTACGTCATGAACATCGTAGAAACGTGAATGGAAGCGAGGTAATTGTCCCTTAGAATCTTCACATCAACTCTTGAAGCAACTTGGAAAATAAATAATACTTAAAAATAAATTTTAACTTAATTTACAAAACAAAATTTACTGCGAATGTAATTCAATAAGAATCGATAGAACACAAGTCACTATGAAATCCTGAATGATGATTCAAAAGTCGCGCGCGCGCGCCTAAGTAAGTTGAGCGCGCTCGCCGAGGTAAATAAAAATCCTGTTTCCTGACAATATTTCGAGTGTAATCGCCTTTAGACAAAAAAACGCCTGATATGACACYGTTGTTTATTTGTTTGCTTATCTGTGAAGCTTTTGTTTGTACACATTATTGCAAGAACGCAAGCATTTACAAATATACCAGCTGATTAAATAGACCTAATCGGCTTCATCCCAATTAAAACCACCCGGGAGTAAGTTTCATTGTTCGTTGTATTTTTATTTCACAGTTGAATTCTTAGAAACAAAAGTTCTTTTTCCCACAGGATTTGAATTGGGTGGCAACGTGCATAGCAACGCCGTTAGCCGATTAGGTCTATTGCTTTAAAACTTGGATTCTTCTCTTATTTTCTTTTCTTATTTTCTTTAATACAAAGTAAAGAGAGCCAGTAATCCTTACTCAAAGGCGCTTATACCTCCATTTAACATTTGAGAGAATGGTCAACAAAATTCACATGCATACACAAACAGGMCAAATGACAGATCATCATAAGACACGAGTAAGCGCTTCAAGAGCATCAAGTCTAAGTGTCACACTACTAAAGCGATCGATCAGCGGTCGCTGGATCAAAATTTAATTTGGTTTATGTTATTCTAAAAGGCATTGTATTATGGAAGAAAAAGAGCTTTACTTTGCCTTTGGGTCAAATCTGAGCGCAAGAAAAATGCGGGAACGTGGCACAAGATTCATYTCTCGCGAAAGTGCTATGCTTCGAGGGTTTCGGGTAGTATTCAATATATGGAAAGACGATGGCTTTGGATATGCAAATCTTGTTCCAGATAASGATTCAACCGTTTATGGTGCGCTGTACGTCTGCTTGAAAGGGAGTTTATCTAAGTTAGATGAACACGAGGCAGGCAGGCTTCGAAGAGTTATAGTACGGGTGGAAAAGAAAAGCGGCCAAATCGTGGATGCTACAGCGTACAAAGCGAATGAAGAGTTTGTTAAGGAGGGACTAAAGCCAAGTCAAATTTATCTCAACCAGATACTTGAAGGAGAAGATCTTATTCCTAAAGAATAYGCTGACTACTTTAGAAATCTCTTGCGTGACAAAACTGAGTAGACGCCGTAACCGTCACGCMACGATGTTGAGTCACGCTTGGAAGAAAACATCTCAAAGAAAGAAAAAAAGGCGCTGATGTAGACAATCGTTAGCCTACGTAGCGGCATTAAGGGAATTTTGGAGGTCCTGGACTGTTGTGATTAGATTGTCCCCACACAATGCTTATGTCTTTCTGACTATGCTTTAGATGCATTAACTTATTATGTATATTCGTCATAAAATCCTTCTAGCGAATCTAGTATGTCCTCCATGTCTTCACACTTTATTTTTTCTTTGATATTCTTTTGTTTTTCTTGAGATTCTGTTCTGTTTTGATTCGCTGAAAGTGAAAAAAAAAAGTTTGTATTTCACCATGATGAAATGTTGTGATATAAATAAGTTGCAGATAGACAGGCACACTTGATACTTGTGTGAGAGATACTTTCCATGCATGATAAATTAACCGTTGGTCCACCACCGTAAATTGCCCGTTCCAAAATTCAAAAAGGGACTGGTGACTAGAAACGAACTTTATACTGTTTGAAGCAATCAAAAAACAGACACCAGGACAAGAGAGAGCATACTAAAATTAGTAAAGCTGCTGAGTTTGAGAGTATTCGGATTAATAAYTACAGAGTTTCAAGCGTTTAAAACTCGAAAAAATTATAAAGAATGTTTGGAGGTTTTGAGCAGCGTCCCCAAAAACCATACACTCTCTTATTTTTACAAATTTGAAACTGAAATTCCTACTATTCAACCAAATATGCTCAAACTTGACAAGAACCCTTATTTTATTGWGGTCTCTCATGTGGTGAGGTTCAGTTTTCGACGAATGTAATATTTTCATACTCGTTCCCAGTCTCCTTTTGAATTTCGGAATGGCCAATAGTAATCTCAATTGGTAATAGGTAGTTGTTTTTATCTTTATCCTTCTTAGAGCGCTTTTTATTATAACTTTCTTCTGATATAGTATAGTATTCATTTGTATTAATTTAAGTTTGATATTTTATTTTAACCCACCCGCCTGCCTAGAATACATGTAGCAATCCTTAATATTTGCAGGCCGGTGGTATATAATAATAATTCCTTTTTGTATATTGAAATAAATAACAAAATAAATCACAAAATTGTGTGCTTCTCAGTGCAAAGACTTGCTCAAAAAGTTTACCGCTGTTTTCTGCCCCAATAGGAATCAAACAACAACTTAAAACGTATCGTTGCGGATGAGGCATCACCCCGATTAAGCGGTCACTAATGAATCCCCCAAGTCGATTCTCGTACATATTTACTCTTAATGTGACCTCTATTAAGCGGCCACTAATGAATCCCCCAAGTCGATTCTCGTACATATTTACTCTTAATGTGACCTCTATTAAGCGGTCACTAATGAATCCCCCAAGTCGATTCTCGTACATATTTACTCTTAATGTGACCTCTATTAAGCGGTCACTAATGAATCCCCCAGGTCGATTCTCGT